TGACCAGATAAGTGAGCATTCTCATCGACACTTTATCAACACAGCATAAAATTATTAATTCAGAATCAGAAACCGTCTGTAAATACTACACATATGACCGCCTACGAAGTGATGTGAAACGATTAGCGATAGCATTAAGAGACGAAGGCATCACAAAGGGTGATCGAATCGTTGGTTTTTTAACAAATTCTTACGAAACTGCCGTCGCCATGCTCGCCACAACGGCCATTGGTGCCGTTTGGTCATCTGCATCTGTTGATTTCGGGACACTCGGTGTATTGGATCGTTTTCAACAGGTATTATATGTTCTGACTTTTTGTGAAAGTGCGCGACTAGGAAATGACCATTCCACAGCGCAATACTCCAGCCAGTCAAAATTTGTTGGGAAGCAGCATAGGTGGCGATTTCTTGTATAGGTTGCATTCGGTTCATGGAGGTTTTGTGGATCATTCTTGAGACAATAGCTGAATTTTGATTGGCAACTGAGTGGAAGCAGATAAGAAATTAAGTTTTGTATGAACTATCACTCTAAGATGTGTTCATGAATAGCATTCTTTTGTCAGGGCTGGTGTTCACAATGTTTGTTTAATGAAGATGTTGAACTGTTGTTGATCACTCGTTATACAATGCTTTATTTTCAGTTGAATCCTGTGGTATTGTTCTCAGCCGTTCGTACTACCTACAAAGGGAAAGAATTTAATTTGGAAAATAAGATTACAGAGATAATCAAGGGTTCGACATTAAAATATTTAGCGCTGTGATTCATACTGAATTGAAGCATTTCTTCTCCCCGAACCGTTTTGTGTGTTTATGTTAGATTATTGAGAAATGACTCGTAAGAGCAAAACTATTGTCTGGTAACTGTTCTCATACTGAATGATGTTCAGAACGTGTGTTTCGACATATTGTTGCCTATACTGTTGCATACATCCNAAATTATTGTCTGGTAACTGTTCTCATACTGAATGATGTTCAGAACGTGTGTTTCGACATATTGTTGCCTATACTGTTGCATACATCCAGGATTACCATCTCTCCGGAAAGTTATTTTAACAAATGTCCATCAATCAGAGATTCCCGCATCACTAGAAGCAGATCCTTTATGCGTTCCGTTCGTTCAGTTCCTACAAGGTACTTCATCCACTGAAAATTTTCAGTTCACCCATGTAAGTGACTTTCAGTTCACCGTGTAAGTAGTTTTCTCTTTCTAGTTTTTTTTTAATACCTCATAGTTATGCAGTTATCAAAATATCATCTCTAACAGCGTTAAACAGAACATGAAAACAAGCAAATTCAAGAGTACTATCATCCTTACAAGTGAGGAATCTTGCTTTGTTGATGTGTATTGGAATCTGCAAATGAATAATAGTCAGCATGATATTTAGTAACAGCAGAATGACTTCGATGATGAAATAC